ATTTGAATCGCTGAACTGCAGATCACAGTCAGCTAAAGTGGCCTGCAGTACTGTACCCTAACCACTGCGCCACCTCGGCTCCTGGTTCTTAGGCCAGCTCCTTAACCACTGTACTAAACTGGACATTCTGGCTCTCCTTATGTCTAGTAACCCAGTAACAAACTCTGGTTAGGAATTATGATTTTCTTGGGTCCATTGAATCTTTTTTGTTTGTTTACTTGTTTACATGAAGAATCATACATTGGCTGGAAGCTTACTATGTCCTGAAGTTCTGAAAAATAATTGTCATTGGTGTTTCATATGCATAGCATATATAGCAGGTCTAGTATAAGGTGGGCTTTATTAAAATCTGTGTGCTGTGTGCTGCGTACTGTTAGACAATCATCATTTTATTTTTCTCAGATTTTTACCAGTTACATTGACTTATTGTATCCAACAGAAGATAGGAATGATCGATTAAAAGATTCCTATTTCTTTACCTGTGATTGCAGGGAATGTTTTACTAAAGAAAAGGTAAGCCAATTTAACCATTTAATTATATGCTTTATTACTTAGATTGGTAGATTGACTATGATCACAACACTATTCTTAATACTATCTAGCATTTTTATAGTGTCTGCAGTACTTGAGACCCCCAAGCAGATTTGGGATTTTTGAGGTCAGCTAGAGCTAAGGGGAGATTGAAACCCAGGTTAAGTTTCCATTTCATATTTTCTGTCTGCTCCCCTTTCTACTGTATCTTAACAACAGCACTTATTTCTATTACAATGCAATGCCCTTTTCCAAAAGCATTCCATAATTCAGATCAGGTAGGTGAAATGGTCAGAAGCCAAGGGTACAAGGGTCATAGATCCCTCACCCTCAGACATGGGGAGATTTATGAATTAAAACCAGAAGCTACTCTTTTACTTTCTCAGCAACGTTTGTCTTATAGATGGTATTGTCGCCTTCCAATCAAGTCAGATCTCATTTTGAAATTGAATGATTTTTTAACTTGCTTCTTTGTCAGACTTCTGTAATCTAGTGCCTTGAAGATCTCCTCACGATCACAGTAGCTAGCCCACGGCTTTCAGTTTAATAGAAATTAGCCAATACATCCAGAAGGAACCAAGTTTTAAGATGCCTTATACATTTTGATCAGTTTAGTTACCTACAGTTTGCCTGTGGATCTGCTTTTTGTTTTTGGAATAGCCTTTGTAACTTTCTTATAAATCTTCCCTCAGGACAAAGATAAACTGGAAATCCGTAAACTGAATGAGCCTCCGTCTACGGAGGCTGTGCGAGATATGATCAGATATGCCAGAAATGTGATTGAGGAATTCAGGCGGGCCAAACATTACAAATATATCCTTTGGTGTTATCTTTCTTGTGTCCATTTCTGCAAAGATGAAATTTCAGTTCAATTTAGCAGTCTCACTTGTTGAGGCACATCCAAAAAATGATTTTCCACAAACTTGGGTTGCAGCTATCAAATGGAAACTTTTTAAGAATTTTACTTGAACTGCATTGTTAAGCCATCCTAATTCATGGTTCCTGGACTAAGGTACAGATCAGAAAACAGTTGTTGTTCTTTGAATATTGCAATGTACTTCCCGGCTCAGAAAGTATATGTATATATGTGTGTGTATATGTGGGTGTGGGTGTGTCTACCTACACCCGTGGAAATCTATGACAACACACATATATACACACACACACACACACACACACACACACACACACAGACACACGATGTATACATACATGATGCATATATATATCATGCCTATTGGAACCATAATTTGAACATTTAAGCTAATATATGAGGTGTATTATGAATACACTTGGTGAAAATGTTCATAAATGTTCATACAAGCTAAAACAAAATTACAGATCAGTATTGGAGAAAGGATGGGGCTGTCATAAGACATCAAACCGAAGTGGATTGGAAATAGAGTGCTGTTTCCATCCATCCTTATTGAAAGCATCCTCCATCTTCCTGGGATGAAAACAAGCAAGAAAGAACATATTTGGTGTCATCAAAATCCTATTGTCTATCTACTATCAGCTTCACATTGTTTTGTGTAGATTTTGAACAAAGATGAACTGAAACTATGCAGCACCTCAAAGGTCAAATGTCATATGAAGCCATCATAATTCCTTTAGATAAATCTTCAGATAAGATCCTAGCTAGGAAGAGACATATTTACAATTAATAATCTCTATAAATGCTAGTCTATAACAACAAAAAGCAAGAAGGGGCAGAGTATACATCCTTGTAATTTCAGCTGAGGCAATAATGATGGGACATAATATTCAGAAACCTAACCTGGAAAATATAGTTTTCATTTGTCATGTACCTTAACTCTTGGCTTACCCCCAGGTGAACTGCAGGAGATTTGTGAACTCAGTCTGGACAAGATGGGTTCTGTGTTTGCAGAGAGTAATGTTTACATGTTGCATATGATGTATCAGGCCATGGGAGTTTGTCTGTACATACAAGACTGGGAAGGTGCTTTGCGCTACGGGCAGAAGATTATTAAGCCATATAGGTACCTGACTTTTCTTCTTGCAATTTGTATAATATAGGAAATTGAAATATCTGTCAAGAAATACGTCTATTGAAACACACCGTTGGCTTTCCTTTCATTGAGCAAAGAAACAAATATCATTCCTAAATATTTTGGTGTGCATGGTGCCAATATAAAATTACGTAAAACAATTACCCGAAAAAACATAAGCCTGTTTATGGTGACAATCGGTTGTCTTGAGGCAACAATGTTTAATTACTTTACATTGATGTTTGAATAAATACAGGTATATATAACAAACAAATTTCTCTGGAAGATTAGATGAAAAGTTCTAGAGAAAAAAAACAGTAAGGTGGAAAGAGACCTATGGACGTTGACTGTATAAACAAACCCTGTGTGACTGAAATTTTATAAAGCACCCTATCTCTAAGGCCCATCAAGTGGTAGGCTCTATGATAAAAAAATATTTTCTTGGATCTCTGGCTTCTTCTATCATTAGAGATCTCATGTTTTACGTTCCCATTTCTCTTCTTCTGTTAGCCAATCTTCCCAATATCTCACGTTGTGATTATGACTGGTTGGAATTCTGACCTCTTGCTTTCCTTACCTAAAGAGTCATGGAATTAAGAACATTCAGGGATCTATTTTGATGTCACAAAATATGAAGCAGATTTTGCGCAGAAAACAGAATGCTAGGATAGCTATGCATTTTGACCTTAAGCACCATATAAGTTATAAAACTTGGGGATTTTCCTAATCAATATATCCTTCATGAGGAGGACAATAACTCATATACATGTTTTACGTGGAAAAGGTCACGGGTTCATTTGTCAGCATTTTTGGTAATGGCTGGAAACAGTGTTGTAGGAACTGAATTGTTGCTGTAATGTAATATCGAGACACAGCTACAGGGTCCAATGGCCTGTCTTCATATAAGGCATCTTTCTTTGATCCTATGTTCCCAACATTTTTCTCCCTAGTATGCCTGCTCCTCTTGCTCCCCTCAAGCAATGCTACTGTAACTGGTTGGTCTTTTATTTTGCTCATGAAAGTTAGGAATTGACAAAGTTCAGCAGAGTTTTAGGAGAAGAGAAAGGCGGGTTCTTGTGGCAGACTTCTGGCTTACAGGAGGTACTTTAGTAGGCCTCTCGAGGCATTTGGTTTGGAAAAAGATTTCATTGGCTTGGATTTTAAAGAGCCACTGAGGTATATGGACACTTCTGTATCACACAGATAGGCAGTCCGATTGCCTCCAGGTGCTTTGGAATACAGCTATCGTAGTCGGCAGCCATTATGAACAAAAGGAAAGGGTTGTGGGAGTCCCTGTCCAAAATCTAGAGGACCAGCTCACCTTCTGTATGGGAAGAACCAGTATTTCTTTGAAATGGCAGATTTTTACAGGACTGGTGGCTTCTTAGATATTTTAGTTTTAAGGCTATAAACAAGATTGTTCTTAAAAGGCTATATTTTGTAGCCTATTGAGAGAGAAGCATTAGCACCAGCCTTGGAAACCTCAACATTGTATATATGGTTGCGTGAGCCAGCAATCAGTAGGTTCCTTGATAAATTATCTTAGAGCGTAATTTCCCCCCTAGCTGGGAATACAGCTCATTTCCTTTGAATCTGATGCCAGTGTGAAGTCATAGATCAGCTGGCGGGGAGTGGTGATAGGGAAAGCACAAGAGCACACACTTCCCCTGAGGCCAAAATCAGATTTATCACCCCTGATCCTTGCCTAGCTTTTATGGGCTTGGAGCCTAATGTCCTAAGCTGGTTTAGGCTGGCTAAAAAACTACCAAGGCTCTGGTGTACTAATACTTTAGCTGTTGGATTTTCTCCTCCCTGATTGGCTATCTGTAAAAAAAATATCTTGATCTGTTGAGCATCAGTTGACTAAAGTTCATTCCATGAGAATATCGTGAAACATCCACTGTCTCTAAAACAAATATTTGCCCTCATGGTCAAGTAAAGTTAAGGCAGGGCTGTGATAGATGCCTCTTGGATATCTAAGAAATCACACTCCTTTATAAGCAAACGTGTGTTTATATTTTGCAGTAAGCACTATCCTTCTTACTCCCTCAATGTGGCATCCATGTGGCTGAAGCTGGGAAGACTTTACATGGGCTTGGAAAACAGATCAGCTGGTGTTAAGGCTCTCAAAAAGGTATACTTGCTGTCTTTGCAGAATATTGGTGTTAGTTTAATTTGAACTTCATGTCATCACATATAAATGTTTTGCTTAGGAATATCTGTTCATTCCAAAGGGCTTTGCAGTATAATGTTCTTTGTTATGAATTCCTACTTGAAAGTCAGCCTCATTTATTTTAATGGGATTTACTCCCTATTAAATGTGTATAGGGTCATATTCAACTTTTGCTTGTCACTGAAAGATTAAAATAATTCAATCAAAATCATTATTTTTAAAACAAATGATTCCAAAGATTTTCCAAGTTTATTTCTTGTGGTTGCTCCAACACTTCAGTTCAGGTAGGAGGAAGAGAGTGGTGAGTTTAAGTCATGCTTGTGGGGTTTCCAGCAAGATCCCTCACTGAAAAGTTGTTCTGAGTTTTCATGCTTTTGTATACAGTCAGGAGCTGTTCAGAAACTGAATGTTCTTGGCTGTGGTCAAAGCTGACATATGGCACCAAGCAGATTGCATTTCAGTAGCTAGTTTGAACGTTAGTGCATATGGTAGTCAAAATATTTTTTTGTCTGTGGCTTCACAAAAAACCATGTGTTTGTGTGTGTGTGGGGGGGGAGAGGTGTGCAAGCAATAGATGTGGAGGCACAGATTTTGCTTCCATTTTCTCATTTTGGGGGATTCATTTTGCTTGTCTAGGGGCAATTGCTGGAGATGCCTTCTAGTGGGTCAACAGCCAGGCAGGAATGATAGAAGTTTTCTTGAAACTAGAGCAAAGATGAAAAGGAAGTTAGAGTTCTCGGTATAAAGGTAAAGGATCCCCTCGCACATATGTGCTAGTCATTCCCAACTCTAGAGGGTGGTGCTCATCTCTGTTTCAAAGCTGAAGAGCCAGCACTGTCCAAAGACAGTAGCTGGCATGATTAAATGCCGAAGGTGCACAGAACACTGTTACCTTCACACCAAAGGTGGGTCCTATTTTTCTACTTGCATTTTTACATGGTTTTGAACTGCTAGGTTGGCAGAAGCTGGGACAAATAACAGGAGCTCACTCCATTAGGCAGCACTAGGGATTCGAACCACTGAACTGCTGAC